GCTATTTTCTCAAATGGACCTCCCTGCTTCTAGGCGATGATGACGTTCTTTTCCGAACAACTCTACAGCAGCAGGTCGGTGTTTAATGCGTCTGATTCGGCTCCAGCGGTGAGGAACTAAGACAGGATCCCTAGATTTAAAACTGCTAGTTAGGTTAAGTGATCAAACTGTCTACTTCGTACTCCGCTGTCTTTTAGCTTCATGCTTATACCCACGCGTCTGCTTCCGTACCAGACATACTTACATTACATACCTTAGTTATGTATGATCGGGTGCAGCGTCACAATCACTCGGGTCCTCCTCAGACTTTGCAGTTGACTTTGTCAAATTTACCTCGTGGCCTAGATTATCCCCTCATGCCATCATAGAGAATAGCGAAACGGGTCTACTCCACGCCGAAAAGCGCTTCGTCCACCTTAGTTGTATTGTAGAGCTACCGAAGCTAGACTCTTCAAACATCCCTCCAAGCACCGGTATACTATGTAGAAAATTTAGGCACATGGGTCCGAGTGACAGATTCTCTCAAGGAGCTCCGCCGACGCGGTGCAAACTTTTTACAAAGGACCGATGGGAGAGGCTCTTTAAGCTAACACTTTAGTCACGAAGCGGGCCGCGGGACCATCCATGGATGGGTTCGGCACGTTAGATGCTATTTTTCTTACCAACGGATCCTCTTTACTACGGTCATAACGAAATAGTCTCTCCGGTTCCCTGGTCGACAGCACTTGCAGCAAAATTCTCGGGAGCCGGCCTTACCGCGATGATGTGTAGTAAAGGGTCTGGATCAACTCTAGTAGCGCTGTCGATACCCTTTTTTCCTCTTTAAAATAAGGGTGAGGTTGGGGGCGGCGTAGGTACTGTGCATCCGGGGGGCCGAATTTGATCTAGTGACTGTCCTAACAACTGTGCGCTGTCGTAAGGTTATCCTTGATTCCCGATATTGCCTCGGAATCGGTGAAGGATGCAACGTGATTTTTTACGACATGGTCTAATTAGGGGTCTGCTCCAGTGCTCAGACCGCTTGCGGAATACCTAGGTAGGTAGATGCTAAATAGTACCTACGCACCAACAGCAACATGAACTTGTAATAATTAGGAATAGGATAAAGAGGTATGTATTTAATAAAAAATCATACAACTTTAATTGTTACACAATGATTCGATGGACGATCTAGAAGCCCTAGCCCGCTTTCTCGGGTCAAGCCGCAATGAGGCTGGTGATTCCGCCGGAACGGAACTGTGGAACGCATAAAAACAATCTAATGCAACCCAGATCTTTTACCTAATACTAGTAATACCTACCTAACCTATCTTGTGCAAAGTACAGTTACTAACCCTCGTCCAAATGTCCTTAATTAGGTAATCATATGTCACAGTTTCCGTTACATATTACTCTTAGATTCGTTTCCTTTTTATTTTACCGGAGTTAACTGTTCGTCACGGAAGGTGAGGCTTTTTGCGCACCCTTCGTCTTCCCTATTCGTCAACCTCGTCAACCGTTTGTTACAAACGATCACCGACAGCCAAGGATATTGTAACAGGGTGGGCGCATCTCCATTATTAGCAACATGTACTCTTACACGACACAATACCTGGTCCCTTCGTTTTAGAGAACTCTTAGATACCTACGACGGAATCCTTCGAGAGACATTACCACCAATTTCCACCAACCAATAGCCAACGGCAACGAGCAGATATGATTTGGCATATCGCCGAGCAGATCTTAGCTACGAAGCATGCAAAGTCTCGTGGGTGACAAGGACAACCTGGATTGGGTACGTGCAAAGACCGGGAGTCATCCGTCTACTTCTCATATGCGGAACAGTCGTTGTGTTTCAAAGCGACGCGTAGTAGTGGTCGCTCTCAGATGGCAAACGACATCTGCCTAATATGCTATTCGGTGCTGGCCTACCGGCGTTGCATCGCACTTCGTTCTGATCTGACGATGTTACTTGCAGACGGCATGACTGCTAGGCAGGCTATCCTAAGCGCTTACAGAACACAGCGGTCCCATACCCCCGTGCCTCTGCCAAGCCTATCATATCATGCTTGTTGCTCAGCCTGCTGCCCGGTGTCTTTTTTTCTCTCTTTCCTGATTCTGGCTAGACCTTTGCTAATCATTGATGATGATACCGCTCCCTCGGTACTATACATAATACCCTCAATCCGCTTGGATACATTTAATGGTACCCATCGGGAAGTTCAACACTATTAGTAGTGATGACTTCGATTGAGAATTTACCAATACGCAAGCGTAGCTTAGCATATACTAGTCTCTAAGCTCTATGTGGTCAATGATGAACTCAATTGACAGAATGCGAGTCAATTGAGAATACAAGGTCGTCGTTATTTTTGATCTTTTCTCGTTTCCACTTAACAGCTGAGAGCAAACACTGTCTCCAGGTATTGTGAGCTCCTGGCGAGACCGGAGCTCCTTATTGAACGATTGGCCGGTTGGATCGTCTTGTTAGAGATCCCTTAAGCAAGGATAACGCGAGACCTTAAGAGAGAAAAAAACGACGCGCTAGTTTCGGGACGCGTCTAGATCTTATGATGAACCCAAGTTAGCCGAAACCCAAGGGCTCGCAGTCCGGGGAAACCCTAGCCTAGTCGGGCTCATAACTCGCTCGTGAACCCCGAATTACGTACCGGTCTATCAGACACGGACAGCTTCAAGCTTGTCGGACCATGGGTTCTCTCATTGGTTCCTCTATATCGGTGATTCGATAATGAGCCAATGAGGTTTGTCACAGCTTAGCAAGCAACCGAGAAAGAACCATCCAACCCTCATCCCAACCTGGATATATCTATTCATGGCTCTCTTTTTGCATTCCTTTTACATCGGCCACAGGAATAATCGGCAACCAATATTTAGCGATTACTGCCCCCCGAGGCTGTGTATCTCAGCTACCTCTCGCGCTCTACTAACCCCAAAAGATAGAGTTGACCCGGGTTTTCCTATTCGTTATGTGAGCCGACCTTGCTTCTGCAAGTTGTCGGCGTTAGCTCCTGATCTAACCATATGCACTCATTGTATACGGTGTGATTACCTCAATGGTAATGATATGTCTAAGCGGCATTATCAAGGGATTACGTACAAGCATACAGGATCTATGATCCTTAGCCTCGAGAATGACAATCATTGTCGGCGTTTACTCTAGTTATGGATAACTTTTTGTAGCGTTGGTAGGTAGATCAAAGTTATCATCGATATTTTCGTACTTGTATATAGTAAATCTAATATAGCGTCCCGAATAGCTGTAGGATGTACAGAACGACCAAGGGATCCCCGAGAAGAGCTCGATGTTATGTACATAGTAAGACCGTAGTTCCTACATAATATGGAATTATGTAGTTCTTAGCAATCTCATGATTCTATAAATACTACGCTCTATACTACCTACCTGTAATTTGTAAGATGGACCCTGATAGAAGCATGGATATGTAGGAAAGGTCAAGCCTACCTACATGGCTTAAGCTTATAGTGGGGTAAGGAATGTATACACGATGACGAGATGGTTTCTATCTGTCCAGCCCCTCGGAGGCCAAAGTGCGTCTTCTCCGCACGCGTTGGTTTGGCGTTTTGTCGTCGGTCGCGTTAATAGCATGATGCAGCCCACACTCATGCAACTCTTGCAGCTTTTTAGCAGTAGGATCCGTAGTTTAAATCAGACTTATGAGACAAGTCCTAAAACTAAGACCTGTCTAGCCCGGATGAAAGAGCCTAGTGTGAGCGTTTCAAGAAGCTGCAGAAGAAGACAAAAAAAAAAGAAAAAAAGAAAAAAACTCTATACGCGTACCTATCAGGTGTCTTGGGTATTTTGTTAATTGGAATCTCCATATAAACGCGCCAAGATTTTTCTTCTCTCCTCTTAATTCTCCTCTTCCACTGCGAACCCTGCTGTTGGGTAAGTCTGGCTGATCAATTTCTGCAAGCCCATCATCCCATAGCCGTACTCCTCCTCACTGTTTCGAGCTAAATAAGAGCCCAGACATCTAAACTCGTTCTGATCAGTAAAAAAATAAGATAAAATTTCCTAGTTATCTCCGAGCGCCCGCACCGAATCAATCAACAGCTAGAGATGAACATACCCGCGCTGTAGGATTTTGCGAATAAGCATCTACACCATTGCGCGGGCTCGAAGGTCCGCATCTAGGTATAGGTATCCTCAACAAGTTGTAAGGAAGTGTTGTAGTTAGACAGGGGCCGAATGACCATAGCCTATCTAATGTCGCTGAAGCCAGCTCCTAATGGATCTTGATAATAATACCCAAATAGGAGAGGATACGACGGTACCGCTCTTCCGGTCACGGCATACATAAGTATGTACCTAATATACTATTTCCCATTTCCCATTAGCTTCATTTACCACAGCATCCAGACTGTTGGGTTCGTGAGAAAGAGACTGGTCCTTTTTTTCCCACGCAAGGGCAAGTCTACATTTCCTTTTTCTCGTGCCATCTACGTAGTAACGGAGGGAAAAGGACAAGAAAAAGCCAGACCGGGGCTCTAATTGGCGAGCTTAGCAGCTAAACTAAGATCTTTTCACAATCTCCGAGCGCTGTGCTGTCGTCACCAGGCGAATTCGGTTATGCAGGGTACAATTTATTTGGGAACGCCATGAGCTACAGTTATATATATCCAAGTTAGCAAGCTTATTATTATGTCTTCTTGAAGATCTTTCTGCGTAGGAGATCATGTAGTGCCTTTACTACGACGTGACGAGCGGATAGAGACTTTATTATGTGCACAACTAAATTCATGACTACCGGTATGAAGTAGTATTTCAAATTTACAATCGCCGGCGCCGTAAATGGTATTCCGTACAGACTCACCTTGGCCTCTCTCAACTATGTATTCCTATTGGCACGTGATATTAATCGACCACAAGTCATTTCATTATCTTCGTCCTATAGGGGGTAGAGAGAGAGGCAATGCGATATAGTGCTACGGCTTGCTAATCTTACATATGTAATTTAATACAATATCAACATCGACATTACTCTAGACTTACTTAGTACAACACATCTCTTACTTCGCTATACCCCATCCCTTCTACCTACGTCCAAACCTACGTCCGGATAGCCGCTTCTCTCCAACGCCGGTATAGTCCGGCTTCGCAAAATCCCTAGGGCCTAGGAATTCCTCTCGCCATATAGGCTTCTCCTTCGCAGCTTCCCACCGCTCTCCCGTGCGTGGCTCCAAGACTACCTTCTCCTGTGATTTCGTGATTATCCGCTGGCGAGCTTTGTCGAATTCTCTATGCAGGATTGCTAGCTCGGTCTTCCCGCGAACGCCTGGCCAGTCTGCGTCGATGAACGTCGATCCTTTTCCTTTTGCCGGGTCGAGTTTATGTATGAATACCACTTGATCCGGCGTCTTTGCTTCGGCCCGCAGTCTTTGGAAGTGTGCCGGGTACGTCAACCCGACTTGCTTCTCCGTGTCGTACCGCAAGAGCGACGGCATGCGCCTTGCACCCAGCACGTCTCTGCGGTCTTCCCCAAGCCACATCTCCTTCGTAGTCGGCGCCGACCCTACGTAGCATGATTCGAACGGTATCATGCCGCTTAGACGGTCTTTGAAGCTTGATGGACCTTCTGCGTCTTCATTGATCCAAACTGGAACGAAGCCTCCAATCATCCTCCGTTCGCTAGGCCACACTGCTTGATCGCCTTCCCCGACGAGTGATGTGCCGTCTTTTGAACACACCGAGACTCGCATTTCGAAGAGTCTCCGCTCTTGGATATCGGATACTGTCCGGATCTTCGTAACACCCTGCGCAGCGTAATACTTCAAGTCGACGTTTAGATGCCGAAGATCAACTAGAGATAAGTTGGGGAGAGTTGCTCCGCTGTCGAGGAGCGTCTCGAAGCAACACGAAATCTCAGAATTCGGCTGCCGCCATGATCTGTCTCTAATGAAACCTCTAGGTGTCTTTCTCATTACTTGTCTCCTATCAACGGCAAATCGCATGTTCACCGTATAACTCCCGAAAAAGTAGTTATTTTTATTCCCGTCCTGGTTGAGGCACAGCGCCTTATTTGCCATGGCTTCGAAGCCGGGGCCAGCCAACGGGGGTTCTTGCCAGAGCCATCCGGGTCCGTATTTTGCAAAATACCTATCTAACCTCTCCTGCCTGTCTACGCAGAAGGATTGGTATGAGGGGCAGACATCAACGATATGTCCGCCGTAGATGAGTGTAAAATTGTTCGAATATAAGATTTCCCCAGATTGATACCCTTGGATGGCAGCTCGGATGTTGATCTCCTCATCTTCACATTGGCAAGTATCGAGGGCCCAATTCAGCGAGTCCAGTCGTTCGCCGATGCGCTTCTTCTCTTCTCGCTTATCTCTATGAGCGGTTATTAATTATTATACATATTTCTTGGAAAATGAGGGTTTAAGGTATACTTACTGGGGCATATTGTTTTCTTCATCGTCCTCCATCTCCGATCGCTCTTGTATCAACTCATCGAGGATTTCCTGATTATGTGCAACTTCGTGCGGAGAATGTTCCTGGTGGTATCTTACGATATATTGCTGTCGTTCAATCTCACGATTCTTTTCCTCGATGTAACTCAAGTTCTCCCCCAAGCTCCCAATCACTAGCGTCTCCCAAGGTTTCCGCTCCTGAATACCCTCAGCCTCTGCCAAGATCGGATCGTCCGCACTCTCTTGTTCAATTGCTGCCTGTGTAGCGTTTGAGTCGTCAATATCGGGTTTTCCATCTTCTGTCTCTTCACGACGCTTATCTTCGTTTGCAGCCCTAAATCGGGCGCGGAATTGACGTCTACGCTGTTGCCGAGCTCTGCGCTCCTCTTCTGGCATTCCAGTCCTTCGTACATTTCGCCTACGGCCCCGAGACGACCCACCCTCGGTTTTTTGACCCGGAGATCCCTCTGGGAACTCTGGCAACTGGTTATCATCGGCCATTGCTGTCTACCTGTTCTATAAAATTGTAGAGTGTTTTGATTTTCGATCACATCCAACTTCTTCACTGTTGTCTATAGTAAATTTACGAATAATTGCTGTGCTCTCTAGCAGTGCTAGCTGTTGGGTTGCAAAGAATGGGAACGCCTCTAACACCGCAAACGGAAAGAAACGGATGGATTCAAGCATCTAGTGCGTTTGTCTTACCTTCTTGGCCATGATATTTAGCCGTACAATGGCATTCTTTGTTGAAATCGGATTTTGGTGAAAGAAAGCTAAAAGCTGGCTTTGGAATGCTTAGCTTCTGCCCCTGGTAACTACAGAATTCCTCGGAAGAGAAGACAAGAACATGGGGTCCTAACTTGTTCATCGCGAGCGGAAATTTCGCCCATCTTCCTGTCTCTTTCTTCTTGCTCATCTGTCGCGGTTGACCGGCAGACTCACGCTAAGCACCCACCCAAACAATCCATCAACGAAACGTTCTAGCTGACAATGAGCTTCGGTCGGTAAACTGGAATCACTGGATACACTACTCGTTGTCGTCTTGTAAACCGCTATAGAGCTTCTTCTTAGCTATTTTCCACTTCAGGGAGTCTAGAACGGTTATAGCTCGAAAGGGCGCTCTAGATACGATGGGGGAGCCAAAACCGACAGCCGATGATGATGCTTGGGACAAATCTATACCAGATGTGCCCGTAGGTCCTGGCGGGAAGGATCCCAGAATTATACTACCCCTCATCTTAAACTTTCTACTCGACGAAGACGTTTACAAACATCCACAATGGGATCGTCGGTTTGAGGAGGTTATCAAATATCTCAATGAAGCCGATCAGGGCCGTCGTAGAGGCGATCTCGGCTACGATGACTCTTACACGCGCGCCGCGTTGGATGACGCACTGATCATAGTCGAAGTGCATAAGAGGTATCAGAAGTGGAAATCCGGTCCAAATCGCTGGACGTCAGAAATCATACCTGGCCAGCGTACTACTGGACGTCTTCCGAATTTTCCTGGTCAATCTCTTATCCAGCCTGCTCCCGAGAGAATGCGAAACAAACACAAACGCTACGATGAATTGCGCGAGATTCAAACCGACGGTATATTCCCTGAGTTGTCTGCGAGGGGAGTTAGAGCGGTTGAGTACTATCAGAGTGCCGAGGAGCTTTACTTCGAAAATTGCCTTAAACCCGGTACTTACGACCCGCGTATTTTTAACGGGTTCAGATACGAGAATGAGATGTATGAACACTGCATTACGAGTGGGTTTGAGGAAACTTGTAGATTGATTCCACCTCGACCTGCCGACCAGATTCCTACTGTGTTTGATGATGATCAGCAGAACTCCAAAGATGAGCTCACCGAGGCTGAAAGGTTGCAAAACCTGAGAGAATTTTACAATGCTCGAGGTTGGCAGCGGGCTGCGCTTCAGCAATGCCTAAACATGTTCACCAACTACGAGAATAGAATTCTCAATACACCATGGCGTCGGGTGGTTCTGCCCTACGAACAGCCTAACCCGGTCTTGAAGGAGATAGTTTACCAGCCCCGGGCACTTCCCCCAGAGAAGGTCCATAAGAGTCTTAAGGAGCCGTATCCTTGGGTGTATTGGTATAACCAACATCAGGAGCTGATCCAGGTCCTAGCCGGCTGGCAGCGTCGTCGCTATAACCTAGAAAACTGGGAGGATTTCCAAAGAGCTGCTCTGCCCGCCAACTTCCAAGGTCCTTATGTCAATAGGGGCCTTTCGGTATACAACGACCACTGGCTCAAAATGGGCGCATATCTAAGACGGCTACATAGACTTCTGGAGGACACCTTCGGCATAGCTCCCCGGCCTTTCTTGCTGGCTATTCTGAGGGATATCCAAGCTGGGATAGAATGGCGCCCTAACCCGACGGGAAATGCCACAGAATGGAATCCCGACGATGCAGAAACCCGTAGACAAGCCCGTCCAGATATTATGAGAAGGGAAAAGATTGATTGGGTCGAGTTAGATCCCTCTCTAAACTCACCTCCGACTATCCTACTGCTTGACGAATCCGACGCGGCCTGGTTGAGATATCTCTGCCAGCCCTCCCGCACCGAGACAATGTGCGACCCCAAGCTACAACCGGAGGATAACCTTACTATCCTATTCGAGCAGCGCCTCCAGGATTTCCTCAACAACCCAGGCGCGTCTAATAGCCCGGGGATAGCTGGGGTAGATATTTTTGAACCAGATGTAAAACAGTGGAAAGAGAGGCAAAATAAGACTAGGCCAACCCTGGATGAGGCACTCGCATATATCAATGGTGGTGAAGGCGCCGGGAAGTCTCATGCAAATGAGACCTATCAGTTCACGCGTGGGGAAGCCATGGACCACTTGGAAATACTTAGTAACCTAGGTCGAGTCAAGTAAGTTTAATTACCATATGTTAAGTCAGTGAGTTTATTAACGGGAATCAGGTACATGCAGACGAAGGACCTAAGTAAGCCCCAGGAAGAGTGGGATACAACTATCATACGACCGAAATACGAAGTACATCCCGAGAATCGTGTCTACTGGCGCCATAAAGACCAAGGGTCATTCCTCTCCAACCAGACTTTGTATCGAAAAGCAATAGTCGAGCATTTGGAAAATAAATATGGGCTTAGTGGCCCAAAAACTCCTATTGCAAGGGATGAGTTTAAACACATCCTTGACCATCTTGGAGACGACACGTTGCCCGACAAGCTAGCAGCAAGCACAATTGATCGTCCTAAAGGCGTCAACGAGGACGAGAATTACTACGAGGATTACCAGGAGGATGAGGACGATGAGTCGGTAGATGATGAAATTAGTAGTCACGACTTATTGGAGAAGCGAATCCAACCCGAGATTGGTTGGGTTCGGGGCTCGTATCCCGAGGGGGGACTAGAAGAGAGACGCAACGCGCCTAGTTGGTCTGACCTAGTTCCTTGGGAGATGATAGGAAAGCTGTCAGCTGGGAGAATCAGCGATGATATGCGTAAGGAAATCCGCGAGGAAGCCCATAGACACCGTCGTCTTCCGCCCCCGGAAAGGACTGTCCAGTTCTTTCGAAACCTCGCCTATCGGATGGGACGTACAATAGCGCACGTCGAGGAAATTGAACGCAGACTCCAGTACTCAGTGTATGATAGTACGTCCGGAACCCAAAAAACGCACCAGTGGAATGCAATCTCTACGGAGGCCTTCAGACAGGCTTACGAGCATTGGCACCTTACTATTGAGAACGGCGTAGGTCCAATAGAGTTCCTACCGCCGACTATAGAGGATGTTGTCCAGAAAGTAGACCCCGACGGGCTTATGCGAAGCGAGTTCAAGAATCACAATGCGGCAGACATTATTCGAGAAGGCATCATTAAAAACTGCGTCGAGAATCGCAACACAATGTACCCCGGCCGTATTGAGGCTCTCGAGGATTCGTCAGGTTATTACATCAATGACAGCAAATTCAAGCAAAAGAAAATACTCAGCGGTTATAAACGGCCAAGTCTATTCAAATGGGCTACGGAAGCGCAGAGGCGGTATCAAGCCCCGTATACTCGCGGGGTCTTCTTCCACATGTTGCGTTGGCCAGTATACCACCAGAATAGGCGTCTACAAGAACTCATCAAGCAACGACGAGATGAAGTGTTAAGAGTAGAACCAAGCCTTCCAGATCAGACCTATGGCATTCTAATGCCTAGGTTTCCCGATAGAGTAGTAGACAGGCGAGCAGAGGGTTCCACATGGTATCCCTGGCCAGACAATCGTTGGATTTTCAGTCCGAGAACAAAGGCAACGACTTCGGAAAATGGTACAAAGGCTCTTGGGGGGACAAAGAGCCCAGAACGGACAGAGGTCTCAGAACAGACAAAGGCCCCTGACAACACAAAGCATTCCCCAAGTACAAAGCCCTCGGTCGAGACATTTACCCAAGTCACCCCTCAAGAGGTCCCCCAAGTGAACCCCCAATATATTCCTCACCCACCTGTTGAAGAGATTCCTCAAGACACAACCCAAGAGATTCCTCAAGAGACAACCCAAGAGATCCCTCAAGATACAACTCAAGAGATCCCTCAAGAGACAAACCAAGAGTCAACCCAAGAGACAACCCAAGAAACCCCAGTAGCCCTACCAACCGAACAACCACAAACCACTACTCATACCGACGACGCTGATAACATGGCGGTGATAAAAACAGCACCATTAAAAACGCCGAAAGGCAAGGGGCATCGGCAGCAGCTGATACCAATCACCAAGCCGGAGGAACGCTTCATGCCAGGTCCCGCCATCTTTCCTATGGCCGAGACCCTTCTACAATCTGTCGTCCTTAGCCGTAAACTTGAAGGCGGTAAGTCATACACACTCTCTCATATCTGTCTAATCACCTACGTACCTACGTAGGTAGTTATAGAACATTCTTATTCAACGTCCAGTCCAAACTTCCACGTGGTCGATGCTAACCAGGTTGTCGCAGTGCTTTACCCCCAGCCTCGACTTAACTTATGGGGGAAGATACGCAAGGCCTACAAGGCCATGACAGATGTCGAAGCGCCCCTAGTCCCCTTGCTGCCGCCAACCAGAGACTCGGACATCCCCCGCAGCAGCTCCAGGAAGCGCAAGATCCCGGCCGACTTCATCCTCCCCCCTAGCAAGGCTATTAAGAAGGTGAACACGGGAGGCAACGATGGTCAAGGCACTAATATCCCGACCCCGAAGCCCGTCGTAATTCCATCACCTCCAGTTAAGCAACGTGTTAACCCTAGGCCTAAGCCTGCACCGAGGCCCCAGCCGGTCAAGGTTACGGATAACCCCCCGGAACCTACTCCTAAACCACCATATCCGCCGGCACCTCCTATTAAGAGTTACCCCGTGGAAGAGCCCGTACCTCAGCCTCAGCCTACACCCCGGCCTCGGCCTGTACCTCAGCCTCAGCCTACACCCCGGCCCCAGCCTGTTCCTCAGCCTCAGCCCCAACCCGGCCCCTCGGTTCGGCCTGTACCCCGGCCTCAGCCGACACCCCGGCCCCAGCCTGTCCCTCAGCCCCAACCTGGACCTAAGGTTCAGCCGGTTCCTCAACCCCAGCCTGGATTTCAAACACCGGTCAATCCCAAATCGCTGTTTGGCCAAACCCCGACTCCATCCCCACGGCCGGTCGTGAATCCGGCTCACGGTCAAGGCTTGTTCGGTCAGACCCCCCCGGCCGTCCAACCAGGCACCAAGACATACCGCGAATGGCTCAGCGAGAAATCCGACAAGCCAGTGGACCCCACGCCTGACCCCCCCGCTCCCTGGAAGTACACGCCCCTCCCCGGCCTCGAGGGCCACATGCAAGCCGAAGAGAAGACCAAGACCGGCCGCGTCGTCCAGCCGCCGCACCCACCCCAGCCCACCCTCGACACCCAGGGCGCAGAGAACGTGCACGCAGACCAACAGGCCCTAGAGCGCGCCTTCCCGCACGGCTGGGCTCCTCTCGGCCCTACCTTCGGCCTCGACGGCGCTCTGCAGGCCATCTCCTTCAGCATGCGTCTGCAGGACCAGGAGGCCCTCTGGCTGCCCGCGACCTCTGCCCTGCGCGCCGCGTTCGACAACCCAGACTGCTACGTCGCCACGACCAGGACCGTCGAGGACCACAACCACTACGGCGTCACCATCCTCCAGGCCGAGGCCGCCCTGCAGCACTACGTCCGCGAAGACGGGCCCAACCCGCACCACGTCCAGCTGTGCTGCATCATCCGCATGCCCCCCGGCCGCGAGTACTACACGCACCTCGTCCCCGCGCCCAAGTTCACCGGCTCCACGAAGCCGCGCCAGGTCTGGATCTACTGCACCGGTGCTAACGAGTTCGCGCCTGTGTTCCCTGCTGCGCCGCGCCAGCAGAGTTAAAGAAAGAAAGAGAAGAAGAAGAAGAAAAAAAAAACAGGGCTCTTGATATGAAATGATTTTGGTATCAGTGGCGTGTTGTCAGACAGAAGACGTCGTCGTGCCTTCGTTCCGGACAAGCGAGCATACATACGGCTCCTAAAATTGGTTTTTCTTTTGTTGTATTGGACTAGACAGTTAATGCTTCCTTTTGTTTACTCGTCAGATTGTTTTTTATATGTGAGGTAGGTAGGGGAAGGGCTGTCGGGAGGGGAGGACTTCTACCGTCTTGGTCTCAGGGGTAAGGGGGTAGGTAGTAAGGTAGGAGAGGAGACCCGTCGGTCTGTATTTTAAAGGATTCTTTTTCGTTTAGTTTTTAATTGGAGTGGTAGTTCTATAGTTATTCGCATTGCATCTTCTAAACTATTTCCCTTGGCTTATCATGCATGCATACCGTGACAGTATAATATCAAACCGCGTGTCTAATTGTTACAAATACCACTTATATATCTCCCCTATTTCGCAATCTTAATCACCAGCTTTCCAATTCCACCCTTTCCCGTAGCCACTTTCTGCGCCTCCCTCCTCACGACATCAATGTCCTCGAGCTCGATAACGTGGTGAATACTTTTGACCTTACCCATAGCTACGATCTCGCCAGCGCGCTCGAGGTCCTCACGTGCACCGGGGTTGCCTGAGTGAAACTCATGCTTAACGTTTGTGCCGCGCAGTTTGAACCTATACCACAGCTGCGCAAGTCCCACGATCCAGTACATAAAAAATGGCAGCGGCGGCAGCATAAGGCGCAACAGCCCCGGCGACGGCACGCTTGCGATAGACGCTACGACGCCTACATCCGGCTTCGCTAGCAGGAAAGTGCTCGTAACGATCCATTGCGTGTTGTACACCATGTCTATGCTTCCCGGGGGTATGGCATCCGTTAGATTCTTCACGCGTGTGTAGTCGATGACCTGATCGACAAGCCCCGGGAGGTACTCTTCTACGAGCGGGACCTTGGCCGTGGACACGGTGGTGATGATTTTGCCGACGCCGTACACATTCTTTAGCACCTGTATAGCGATGGAGCCAGTGGCACTTAAACCACCAGGTACAAATACTGTCTTGCCCTCGAGTCCGTCGGTAACGCCGTTCTCGCGCATAAGGCGTAGACCCATCTCAATGGTCTGCAGTGCAGTAACAACGCTAGCGATATTGCAGACGTCTTCAAAGGAAGAGCCAGTAGGCTTGGGAATCGTCAGGTTCTCCTGAGCCACGGCATACTCAGAGCAGAACCCCTTGTCGACGGTCAGGTCCATTGGCCGGGATCGTCCGAATGCGTATACCTCGTCGCCGGGCTTAAATAATGTCACCCCTGACCCGACCTTGACAACAACGCCTGCGGCCTCGATGCCGATCTTGTGAGGCATTCTATCTTGGATTAGTTGAATGAATTTTATGCAAAAGTTAAAAAGGGAGAATATCATAAACTTACTTTAATTCTCCGAGTATATACCTTGATGCTCCCCTCGCGAGCTGCGTATCACCTGTCGATATGCCCGCGGCGTGTATCTTGATTAATACGTCCTTAGGATTCGTGACTGTTGGAACAGGCATATTGGCGACTTCCCAGTCGGTCGGCCAGCTGTATTTCGGCGCCACGAGAGAACGCATTGTTTTTGGTAACGCGGCCATTTTGTCCCTCCTTTTCCTTTACTTATTTCCTAAGTACCGTATTACAACTTTCGTAAACTATAAATTAAAGTATACACAACTGCAGTCAAAGTCGTATATATAAACTACATACATTTTAAACCTCGAAATATTCTGATCGGAGTCCTATTATATATAGGTTTGCACAAGGCATAACTACCGGTAGACCCCGGTTCTTGTTTTCGGTGGGCCTTCGGCGGTCGTCCCACATCTTCGCCGCCGAGCCCCGCCGAAAGCTCCGCCGAAAGGAAGCACAGCACTTGATTTGTAACGGCACGTTCTAGAAAGGCATGAGACACGAGGCCTGCGGATATCTTAAAAGTTCAATATCAAACACTATTAAACCAAAAGCAATAGTGACCCCATTTAAGAGTTAATTCAGTCGTAACTATCACTTTTAGTAACTATATCGGACAATTTCTATCTTACAGCTGAGCTGATCTTGGCTGGGCACATTCACGAAATCAAATAATCCAACCCAAACCTATTATCGGTGGGCAGCTAGAGGCCATAAAACATACCAGGATCGGGGGAAATCAAGTCAATTACAAATGCGGTCTCATTGCCATAACATCATGAGTCTAGCCCTAAGTACATAAACATGCTATCTGATTCGCCGCCGCCGGTATCAACTTAAGGTACCAAGAGTTGCGAAGAACAAAGTCGAGTTCCAATACCTATTCCCAACCAATCCCATCAGCATATATCTCTCGTAATTCTTAATCCGAACCCGCAGGAGCAACACGTCGCCTTACAAAACACCATTGTCCCCCTTTGACCGAGTACCATGCATCCTATCCCCCTTGCTCCGTCATATCCTTCGTCGCAGACGACTACCTTTTAAGCACCAGACATTTCCACGCAATTCTTCCATAGAGCACCAGCTCTACGGCTTATTGCGTCCGATAGAACTTCTTGTACAACAAATGCAGGAGGATATTGACATTGAGTCTCAAGTTACCCTCGAACACATTCATAAACTGGTGAGACTCGAACTGCGCCTGTAGGAGATCCTCGATCGGGATGAGGGCGCTCGCTCCTGGAATCTGGATATGGCCCCGGCTACCCTCGAGATTAAACACGCCTACCTCGTCGCACGAGATGGTAAGGTTGATATTACTCCAATCGCGTTCCGATACGCATTGCCAAGACACGACAACACCCTTCTCGGCAAGAGCACGTACACTATACTTATAAGAGCCAAATTTGGGAACACGGCCTGAACGCTCAAGCTCTCGTTGGTGATTGTACTGTTTCGTGAACGGAAGGAGGAATCGCTTTTTCCTATACCCTTCTTGTTAGCACAGCGTATCTATAGAGGATTTTAATCATCTTACCCTTTATTCTTCTGCAGCGTAGCCATGGCCTGCTCGATATAGTCATCGTAACTCTTGCGCTGCTGTTCTAGGTACTCGGCCTTCTCGTGTAGATTCCCGAGAGTGAGCCGTACTCCTTCCAACTCTCGTTGACGTTGTATTCTACGGCGACTCTTCGTACGAATATCCAGCGCGATAGCATTCAAAATGTCTTGGTAGTAATTATGTTTTGTAATTCGCCCCATCTGTTCTAGGTGCATGATGTTTTCTAGAGCATTGCGCTTCATGTCGTAGTATGACATTCGCGTTACATCGACCATGTTGACGTCCGAGTACGCTCCCTTGGTATTGCTATTAGACGCGAAATCTTCCCTTAGGAGTGATTGCCATTTGTGTTCGTCTTCTTGGGTGGGCGGGCGGACAAGGATTTCGAGAAGGTTAGCGCCCGTCTGCACACGAATAATGTACAGGATGCAGCGCTTAGTCTCCATAAAAAGAGCCTTGATATCCGCCTCCGGATCTTCAACATCATGGAGCTTAGGCGTCAAAAACATCTGGATGTCGGAAGACCCAGACGCATTCATTTCACTCTCATTGTTCTTCGCACTTCCGAGGTCTTGCAAGATCTCACGAAGGACATCGTCGCGGTTGGGGCAGAGAGTCGGTATCTCGTGTGCTACGAGAGAATGGATTGCAAAGATATCCGTCATTTTGATATATAGCGTGGGTCGGTTCTTGGCGTAGAGATCATTGAACTCGTCGATATCAAATTTGTTTTCAGCATCCGCAACGGAGATCAAGTTGTTCGTGATATGAGCAAGTCGCTCGATCGACTCCCCTACAAAGGCATTAAGAGGCTGTAGGTAGATATTCTCACCGCCGAACGGACGGCCCGAGCAGATTTGGCCAAGGACTTTAGCAACCTCGCCTAGATTGCGCTTTTGAAGAGGGCTCAGAGTCTTCTCGATCACACCCACCTGCTCAGGGTTAACCAACGCAGGCTGTAGGTAAAAACGCCAAATCCAATTGCCAACAATTTGGAGCACATGGTGTTGAGGCTCACGCTGAAAGCGTTGGCATAATGCTTCGAACATCTGCCGGCAGATAAACCGCAGGCCGTAGGGCATTCGGGTAAGACGATCCTCTAGGGCGAGGAAGTATTGATCCGAGATTTCTCTGAGATCTCGGAGGTGGTCAATAAATAACTCGCGCGTTTCCGGGTCCTTGATTGCTAGATCTCGGGTTATGTCGAGTGGCCTCCGGCTGGGGCGACCGGTGCGTAGCTCTTCGTTATTGATGGCAGATCTGTATATTTGCATCGGGTCGCTCTCTAGATCTAAAGCGGGATCCTCAACGATATTGTCTCGTATCAATGGGCCGAGTAGGTCCCTGAGATATTTCCTGTCTCGTGGCGACCGACAATAATTCCCTAGTAGCTTCGACCAGAAGAAGTTTCCGCGAAGATACTCTTGGATAGAGTTACACGCGTCCACCTCTTCCCGTATCGATCTTGCGATGAGCTTGAGCAGGTAGTATTCTTCTCGTCTCTTTTGTGCATAGCCGAAAAGTCCCATCATGAGAAGTTCGATACGCTTACACTCCTTCTCAGCTGTACCTAATTCTCTCAGTCGTCTGAAAAGTCGCGCTAGGTACTGTGGCTGAGTTTGGAGGTTGAAAAATAATTGCTGATAGGACTCTAGCTTCTTTCTCGAGCTCTTGTTGAGAGCTTTTAGGTCGAACTGATTGGCCGAAGCAATAGAGGCGTTGGCTAAGAGACTGCTAGTGTGTCCACCGAAGGTATTTTGATGTCGGACGACTTCGTCAAGAGTGATCTTATTCTTCACCAACAGAGCGATTTTAATATCCAACTGATCGATATATTGCTCAAGCATCTCGTTCTGCCGAACTTGTTGAACCACTGTTTTTCGTAGTCTTTCGAACTCTATCTCTTCGTTGAAATCAAAGTCGCTGTCATTAAGAAGATGTACGAAGTTCTTCACTGCACCAACTGGTGGGTTTTTTCCGGTCGTGAGGCTTCGGTATGCCTCTCCCTGGAGCTTAGCGCGAACGAAACTTTGAATCTTGACCACCTTCTGCATGTTTTCTTCGAAGTGTTTCTTCTTGGCGGCAAACTGCTGTCGAACAACAAAGCCTTTGGCTAAGGATTGCAATTCAGCTATAGATTCTTCGTGTTCGTCAAGTTCGGCTAGCAGTTGACCGATATCGCTACGCAGGAGCATGGCTCGGATAAGGGATTGTAATGAGACAATTTCGTCTTCGTGCGTTTGTAGTTCATCAAGAAGCAGAGAGTGCTGCTCTCTAAACAGGGACCCACGGATCTGAGCCTGAAGATCTGTGATACTCATAGCGTGGCTTTCAAGAGAGTCGAGATCCGCAGTGATCCGCAGTCGTTCGAGCATGCCTCGAGCTAGTGATTGAAGCTCAAGTATGGATGGTTCATTGTCACCCAAAGCATCCAGCGTTTCGGTAATATCCCGGCGTACTGCCGCTGCGCGAATATGAGCTTGCAGAGCTCCAATCTCAGGGATATGTTGCGCTAGGTCAGCTTTTGTTGCCTGAATATCTTGTCGAAGTAAATTGCCGCGGCAGATCGACTGAAGTGACTCCCATTTTGGACCAAAGCTAGCGAGCGCCTCGCGTTGTTCGTGGATATGATTTCGCGTCAGCATCGCCCTGACTGCAGCCTGCAAACTAGTAACGGCTTCAGTCTCTTCTCCAAGGGAGTAGAGATCTCGGCTAACATTCTCTCGCGCTAGCATTCCTCGTATCGCGGACTGAAGACCGGCAACGGCTTGGGTTTCTTCTCCAAGGGAATAGAGATCTCGGCTAACTTTCTCCCGCGCTAACATTCCTCGTATCGCGGACTGAAGACCGGTAATGGCTTGGGTTTCTTCTCCAAGGGAGTAAAGATCTTGACTAAATTTTTCCCGCGCCAGCATTCCCCGTATTGCGGACTGAAGCTGCAATACCGGACCGGACATACGAGTCGTCTCCTGCTGCTGGGAAAGGAACTTTTTGCGTGCTAGTTGGCCTCGGAACACAGCTTGAATGCTTCGTATAGGACCATCCGCCCGTGATAATTGAGATCGAGTTTCTCGTACATCGTCACGAACTTTTGCGGCCCGTACCAAGCTCTGTAGTATCGTGATATCTTTTTCCTTGCTCTTCCAATAGTGTTCTCTACGTGCCATTCTATTTCGGGCCAGGAATCCACGAGCAGCACTCTGAAGATTGATAGCAAACTTGCGCATCTCCAATCTATACCCTATAACTTGGCGGGTCCAGTCGCCGCGAATGCGCGCTTGGAGGTCAATGAGCCAGTCTTCCGAGTCCCATAGTCCCTGCATCATGTGGCCAAGCCGCAGTCGAAGCATAGCACCTCGCATCTGCGCCTGGAGGTCGAGGACGGCGGCCTCGTTTTCGGACAGTTCGCGGTCGATTCGTTCCTCTTCAGTCTCTTCAGGCTCAGGCTCAGGCGCTGGCTCCACGCCGAAGTCCGCGCCCATGTTCCCGAAGCTAGGCATATTAACACCGAGCTTGTCGAGACCCTTTTGCATAGCCTCCAGCTCATGATGTTCAAACTCCAGTTGGCCAACCAGATTGCCTATCCTGAAATCTACAATACCCTTCCGGAATAAAAGCCAACTTAGGGCGTGTATGCAGTATATGACCTTGGGGATGTTCTTCTTTTCGTAAAGGTCAATCAGTTCGAATCGGAATAAATCAGGCATCTCAACCTCATCTAGGTACCGGAAAAAAGCAGCCACGTTATCCCAGTGTCTTGCCTGAAGTCG